CTGACACACACACACCCCTCCCGCTGACGCGCGCACACACACCCCTCCCGCTGACGCGCGCACACACACCCCTCCCGCTGACGCGCGCACACACACACACACCCCTCCCACTGACGCTCCTTGCTCTCTGCTCCCTCCCTCTGTCTCTCGGTCTCCAGGTGACAGACGGGTCTCTGGTGGCTCTGGTGCAGAAACAGGTGTCGGCCTACAACATCGCCAACTCCTTCACCTTCACCCGCTCGCTCAGCCGATACGGTAAGTCCGCCGTCATTCCCACGCCAGGCGCCCCTCTGCTCGTTTCCCTGCGAGCAATCCTTGGGAAATCAGGGGAACGTCTTTCCTACGCCCATGGCAGCAGACTGGTCGAGCTCGAACTGTGCTGTGCTTTAGGTTCTCGCCACACTTGCCCAGATGAGAAGAGTCACACAGGTCTACTGTGGTGAAATCCCAGAAGAACATGCAAAATTGCTATTTAGCTTTTCCAGGACGCACGTTCATAAGGGCTGGATATTAGCAATTCCAGGGTTCTGGGTTTCCAGAGCCCGATTACTTTCTAGATCGGATCGCTGGCTTTCCCTGGTCCATGTCTTGGTTCCTGATAAAATCACCAGGAAAGACTACTGCCATGTACTAAGAGCGACTCTCCATGCAGAACACAATCTGTTACTACAGCTCGGCTGAACACCGCACTCTCAGAGCTGCGGCCGCTCTGGGCTGCTTTCCCGTCTCACAAACACCCTGAACATCCTCTGCTAGTGACAGGCAAGGGTGTTTAAGGTGCGTAGAGAAAGCGAGGGAGGTTTGTGAGGATGAGTGTGCGGCCGGCGATGGCTCACGCGAGGCTGGTGTCTGTGTGGCACAGAGAGCCTGCTGCGGACCTCCAGCAGCCCGGACAGCCTGCGGTCCCGCGCGCCCATGATCACCCCGGACCAGGAGACGGGCACCAAGCTGTGGCACCTGGTGAAGAACCACGAGCACGCCGACCACCGCGAGGGCGACCGCGGCAGCAAGATGGTCTCCGAGATCTACCTCACGCGCCTGCTCGCCACAAAGGTACCACCCCCTACTCGCGGGCCCCACTTCCTGTCCGGTGACCCCGTCTGAACTCCGCCCTGTCGCATCAGACAATACTCCTCCCGACGTCCTTCCCCAGCGCCCGCCAGCTGGGGAAAACTGAATGAAATAAACCTCAGTATAAGTAGAACTGCTGTATGTCCAGGGTGTGTGCAATACATTATGTCCAGATAGTGCAGTATCCAGTGTGCCAAATAAAGTGAAATACCGTGTGTCCATGAAGGTGGCATGAGGTGAAGAAATGCCAGCTGATGTTTTTTTTTATTGGGGGACTCCGCCCTTTCTAAAGCTTCTGAACAACTGTGTTGATCTGGTCCCACCCCAGCATGGGAGGACTGCGCTGTGGGTGTGGGCATTAGGGTGCATCCAACTTGTCCCCTTGAGCCAGCGGTTCCCAGTCCTGGTTCTGGTGACCCCCCACACCCGCTGGGGTTCATTCCAGCCCCCCCTTAATACCTTCATTAGATAATTGGACCCTTAATTGATTTATGAAATTACTTCATTGGAACATTTGCGTTTTGTTTCTCGTGGCAAGTCTGGGATTTTATTTCCACTTACAAAGCACAGCGCCTGACGCTCCAGCATGTTTTAAGAGCTGGGAGCCAACAGCTCAGATTCATCTTGTTGTCATGAAGTCCATGAGGGGCTCGGCAGGAGTGTGGGTCAGCAGGACCGGGCCTGGTTGAGTTCCTCTCCCAGCTTGGGTTCGAGTTTCAGGGTGTTGCAGTGGCGGGCCGGGGCGGAGCTCGGGCCCGGAGCGTTACCGCCGCCTGTTGTCGCCTGGCGCAGGGCACGCTGCAGAAGTTCGTGGACGACCTCTTCGAGACGGTGTTCAGCACGGCGCACCGCGGCAGCGCCCTGCCCCTGGCCATCAAGTACATGTTCGACTTCCTGGACGAGCAGGCCGACC